CATTTCCCGCCTTAGACAGTCAGCTATTGGCTAGATGACCACAAGCCCTAGAAGTCAACGGAAACGAAACATGTCTTGAACTAAATGTGAGAGCGATCAACTGATGGCTCAAACATATGGTTTGCTGGCAGCTATTAAGTGATTTATAAAATAGTCTGATTGTGTATTCACCAATGAATCATTGGATAACTGTTTTGGTCTTTTTGGAGAGTAGAGTAAACCAAAATACCTCCAAAAGAATGGAGAAACACACTCTGGACATCAAAATGAATTCTGAATAACTGGTTATCAAAAACATGGATCATGTCTCCTTTACATATCCTATAGTGGCCACCCTTCTGACAAAGTTTTGAACTTCAGTGTTCTCGCTTACCAGGTTGCTGAATTTGGTTATGCAGAAGACATTAACTGAAACTTTATTCTTTTCCACATATGAGTCTGTTTTCTAGGAAATGATCGCACAAAGGTTGGTACCGAGGTAAGCGACACAACATCGGGCACCTGATTAGGAGTGTTTATATGTTGTTACAGCAGGCAGTCAGCTCGCCTCCATCAATCAGGCGTTTACCGCTGGGAAATGAATATTTTGGTCAACAAAATCGGAGAATAATAGTTGCTTGGTCTAGTTTACGCCCGACTGATTAGTTGTCTGGAATGACGCAGAGTCCACCTTCAAAAAACCTAATAACATATTACAATTGATTGCCCTAGAGAATGCCTTACGATGCCCCCTGGGAGGTGTGGTTTTGTATAAGAAGTGGTCTCTTCTGAGAACGGCCTTCACAACGGAAGCTATGCCGCCTAAGAGCCATACAAAATCAGTTTGTTAAGCCAGCCTCCTATGGTTGGCTGCCACACATAGAAGCGATTTTTTCAGCATGGTTTGGAAATGATAACAGCATAAACACCAATCATTGGCGAGCTGCTGATATACTGCCGGTAAAAGGCATTGAGCAAAAAAGTAGACATGGAGAGACTGTAATTACAATCTTAAAGGCTGATTGTTCTCCGGTGAATTTTTGCTGGATAACGATCGGCTGTAAGCACAGCCGATAGGATATCATGCACGTTCTGGAAACTTACTGCTGCTTCTCTTTCCCGATAACCAGGAAATAGACGCGGTGCTGTGGTGTATCAAGGCGAATTTTTCGTTCCAAGTTGGATAGCAGCTGGGAAAATCTCGTTAGGGTACGATGGACACGGTTAAATGGAACACAAACACAGTTTGACATAGGCCTACACAATACCTAATAAGATTCGTGAGTCTCTTCTCCAAAAGCAAAAAAATGCAACGTTTGAAGTCCATGAGATCGAAAATCAAAATCAGTGTTTGCCTGTACAGAGTTCCAGTCCTAGTGGCCAGCACCATAATAGTAATAAGGGAAACTTAATTTATAAGAAGTAGATTTTTGAAAATTAACACCCTGCGAATTATATTTAAAGCTGGCGTTAGTACCAAACGTCTGATTGCCTAGAATCGTATCTAGTTTCCTTGAACCGAAATTTTTCTACTTCAGTATAAGATAAATCTGAGATAAATTTGGATTAGTCCATATTGTTTGTGAACTAACATAGATCGATTACTTGTCCAAAGAATAAGTTTTTCAGTAGTTTATTCTTCAGGCGTTTACTTTATTGGTGGGAAAATTGCAGGCTAACTGCGCACTCAGCGTTTTCTTCAATTATCACTGAACAGTGACGAGTACAGTTGCTTGGGGGTTTGGTTGTAACATACTCTTTGCATATGGAGCCATTATTGCGTCATTATAGCTTGTGAACAGGCGACTTATGTCTATCGATCAACTACTTCATCGGCTAGCCACATAAATACTGAATAAACAGTTCATGTTATTTAATACTGTTACAATTTTTGTAAATTTTCTACACTGTCCTACATCTAATTTTTGTTGTTAGTCAGTGGTCACTCGAGGGACTACATGTGCGTAATTAGCCTTACATTCACAACTGCCTGACTGGAAGGTGTAACACGCCTGACAAAAATTATAGCTGAAACCGGTTAACCTCACGCTAGCGAAACAAACTTGTGCTCCTGGTAAACGTTCCAAATATCTGGAACGCAGTTTGTTGGGGGATTGTTGACAGATACAATCACTAATCGATTCAGAGGTGCATAGAGCCTGAGTTGCTCATTCAGTATAACCTTGAGTAGACGCAACCAAAGTTTGGTTTATTCAAATGCAAAAAGTAGGTACTTTCACTAGGAACAAATCAAAGGCTTTCCTATTTTCATGAAAAATAAGCTGACAGACAGGCCGTTTTGGAGGATCTCCCTCTGGTAAATGCACTTTAAAAACTACGAAAATTTCAATAGCCTAGGGGACTCCTTAAGGTAATCAGCTTACAATTGCGTCACCAAATGTCTACTGGATTGATTAGATGGTTGCAGTGTTAACTTAGTCAGAGTGACCTTTGCTACGTCCCCACTTAGTGGAAACACCTTCACTCAGATAACAGTATTGCTTTCAAAGTCATCTACACGGTTCCATTAACCTAGCCAAAATTGTTAGACAAAATATTTCTGACATGGTACTCGATACTGTTCTGTTTCCAAAACCAACATTTCTGACTGCTCCATTTAACATTGTCAGGCGACCGCGCAATTTATTTGAGGACTTAGTGTCTGTTGCCTTCTTTTGGTCATCAGCGCAAACACCTACTCGGCCCGCGAACCGTTCGTTATCTTTCTTTAGACCGTCTATTTAATAAACCACTGCAACATTTTGGAGTTTCGCTAACAGTTGTTGCCCATTTAGAGATTTAACAGAAATTATACGTTAACCTTCCTAAAGCCACAGAGATTGTGCACCGTCACTGCTTAACTTTTGTATGTCAGTTTATCAGGATCAGTTATGTGGCAACAAGGGAGATTTCTTGATTTTCGTTCCGCAACCGGTTCCCATAAAACACAGACATCTTTGTAAAAAAACGCGGCATTAACGGTGGAACCATGTGGAAAAGAGATGATGAAAAAGATGCAAAGCGTTTTATTGAAAGGTCAAAGAATTGTCTATATCAAGACAAGCACGCTTTGCGTGAAATCCTCCGGCGCCTACAAATCTGGCCTGTGCAAATGAGATTCAGGACCCTGTCAAAACTAGCCGACCGACGTCAGAAACAGGTCCAATTGGAGCGCATTTGTGAGTACTTAAACTCAGCAAGGTGTTTCGTTTCGATCTTATTTGACTGATGTATCAGGCCGATTTTGGGCAAAAAATGTTGCTTTTCTGCTACTGTAATTGGTTTTCCTGGCGCTTTTTTTCACATTCCCTCGAACTTTTATATTCGTCTGTTTTTAGCACTTTTTTCATTCACACTGCCACATTGTGTCAAAACTGAAAAATTCCGGTGGTCTATAAGTGGGTTTATGGTTGATACTCTCTGAAACTGTTTCTCTGTATGCACCCATGAAGGAAGTATAGTTTCTAGTCAGGTTACAAAGCCACTTGAGCATCCACCAGTCAGGGGACTGGTCAGCCTTTAAGCCAAAGAATGATCGACCAAAGTTGGTCTGGGTGAGTAAACCCATGCACGCGCCATTGACACACGCTTCTGCCCACAGCTCACTCTGCACACTGATGATGTCACCTCGACAGATGTTCAAACGTTTACTACCAGAAGACCCATCTAAACACAAGCGAATGTTTTATGCTGACATCAAATGAGAACGGTCACTACAAGCGGCGTTGCATAAAACTTTACGGGTTCTTGTTCCAGTCATGTCGTGCCATGGATGAGAGATTACTAGATGCAAGATGGAGTAGCAAATGGTAGATCGAATCATACGTGGAATCAACCAAATTCATTTCAGGTACAGTGTTAAAAGATTAAAAGTAAACTTGATCCGTGGATCTAATTGGTTCTGGATACATTTGAGTTAGTGTTTTTAGACCCAAAAGACCATCCAAGGAATAGCAGATCCACTGTTAACTATGACTATGTCTGTTGGTACAGACCACGCAAATGGCTATAGCCTTGTATGACGCAGCGATTTTTCTGGCACCAGATAATGCAGCTTATTCCGGACGATCGTGTATATGTCCCGATATTTTCGAAGCAGGCACCTTTTGCATTAGTATGCTTTTGTGTTCCTTTAATAAACGTCACTTAAGTAAGCGAAGCGCTAGGAATTGTGACCCATCTAGATAAAGAAAACAACCTGCACTCTTTTTGTTTGAAAATCACGGCATTTTCGTAGGGCACCTAGATCAATTCTGATGGATGACTGGACGCACGTTTGAACGTGTCCCGATGGGAGTAAGAAGTTAATCCGATATCATTTTGAGTTCAATCTTGCACACAAACACTTCATAATGTCTTGTTTTGAAACTGGTGCATCTTCATATACCATTTGGTGTTTTTGTTGAGTCACTCTACGAATTGCGTTAGGGCATGGTGTACAAAATGCTGAGACGTTCTGTGCACTCACTAATATACATGTCGGTTCAACCCACCTATTGCCAGATTTGTAAGTTTTGGCTGACCGATGCCTAATGGAACATTTAATCGCTTTTATAACCATATATTTTGACTTGTTTTACTTTTTCAAAGCTCGGTTTGTTTCATCCGGCCACAGTTTTGTTGTATTTTTCTGTTATGCTTCACTGATTAAAGGTTTTGGTAGCACTCAAGAGTCCATAGAGACGTACGATGTTCAACAAACAAAAGGCAAAGGAACGAAAGAAAAATACGTGGGCATAAAAAATCTCGGCCTGAGTGGATAATTGTCTGAATAAAGCAATGCTTTCATTAAGTGCATATTGGTCTACAATGTCTAGCAACGTTAGTTCGTGGTTAGGAAGATCAATAAGTTTATTTTACCTCCTGAGACGAAGGTGAGAATACAAGTAGTTTATGCTCAGTAATTGAATCACACTGCACTTGTAAGATAATGAATTTGAACGAAATCTAATCAGTTATTTCGCACAAAAAAAACCACATAAGTGCAAGGTAATATCTAAATAAACTTGGTTATAACGTACTGGTCTTTGCCGTAGGAGGTTCGATCAACGGCTTCAAGGTTTGCATAGATTGCGCGTCAGTTTTCTCGTTCTTCGCTGAAGTCTTCTGGTTGATGAGACAGCTTGAAAAGCAGGCGCAACATACGTCACAGAAGCTTGCCGAACCCAGAGATTGCTTTCTTCCCGGTTTTATTCCGCTTCGGCCATTGCTCTGGGCACCAGCCGGGGTGGATGTCTCTTTGGGCGCTGTTTGTTGACTCTCTACCGGAGGAGGTGGAGCAGGAGATTTTTTATGACTTCGTAATGTGGCTCTACCATGGTGATGAGGATCCTCGGAGGTTTTCAATATTTTGTAGTCCTTCGGCTGAACCTGTGTCCCTTTAAACTGGACTGTTTTGGCTTTTGCGGCAGATTGTTCGACTGGTGAAAATTTATAACAGTATACAGGTTCGAACAAACCGCTGAATGTTGCTGGCCGCTGCCAAATTTTGTACTGCCTTCGGTAAATCACTGCATCCATGTATTTTGCCACACCGGCGATGGCAGCCGAAACAGACGCTATTGGTGCACAGTTGACTTGGATGGCACTATGCATTATCCGCTGAACTTGAAATCCTGAATAATTCTGCAAGGTGCGGATGGTGAATGGGTCGCAGTAACTGAGCCATACTTTGGTTACTCTCAAGTCATGGAAATTTGCACTAAACAAACGACCTTAAATTTTTTCTTGTGCAAGCGCAAATTGCACGGTGGCGAACTTCTAGGATGCATTATTGAAGCGTACGTTATGACTTCGTTTGATTATACCCGCAAAATCCGGCAAGTCATGAAGAACAAACCTTTCACACCTACTAGTGGAAATGTGTTAACCAACAAAACACAAGATCAATCCTGTTATATCCCCAAAACGGTACAAATTCGGTCTATAATTAAATCCAAACTTCAGTAAACTGATATACTGCGAGCATAAGCAGTTTGGAACCATGAACTGATTGATTTCACTTGTTGCTTTCAGTTCACAGCTGTGGAGGTATCTTGGCAAATGGACGAAATGGAGCACCTTACACTTGACTCACCCACAATTTCGTTTAATGTGTTCATTGGTATTGTTTAGAATTTGGCTTTGCAGTGGGTTGCCAGATACATGGTAACACATGGAAACTCGCTCAACCCCATTCCTAAGATCATGAGAACTGGGACCTTAGGTATATAGTGATAACGAATAGCAATGAACAAAACAGCTGCATGTACTCTTGAATCTCCAGCATTTGTTATCTTAGCCTTGAAAATTCAGAGTGCAAGCTTCAAACTGATCTCACTGCTTATGATAAATTACGTCAAAACATTTTGAGTCACCAAAATGAAGGAAGAAAAAATATGGTTGAATATGAACGCTATCTTTGGATTAAAATTTATTTTGAAAAACGACTTAGATTTGCATACAAGCCTAGCGGTCTGTTGCAATTTATTAAATGAGTGAGGAGTCAACTAGAGACATTAGTCTTAGGTGGCTAACCTGAGCTCACAAAATCGTGTTGCCTAAGGGAAAATAAAAGAACGTTCAGCGTCAGAATGATAGCAGTACAATTTCAGGCAGTCTCACGAAAACATTTAGTCATATCTTTAAAGTCCTTGAGGCAACCAACTAAGCGCAGGTCTATGCAAATATGTTCGTGTAAACCATAAACCATAAACATTTTTAAATCAATCTGAAATTTTGTCCCTGTATGTTATCCCTTCGGAGAAAAGTTAGTTGCTACGTCGATACAACTGGATTAAATTCAGTTTCGTTTTACTTTGCAAGGTGTTTTGATCAAAAAAGAAGGCGAATGTGGAGTAGAATCCTGTCAGATGTGTTGGAGTTGTTGAAAAGTCCATTTTTTAAAGACCGTTCGGTAGCCAATCGATTTTATAGGTTACCACTAGCTTTATTCTGTTTGAACTTATCGCTACAAGAGTATTCACCGGAAACTGAGAAAATTATCCAGGAATAGGCTAGCGCTTCTACTTTAATTTGATTTGTGAGCTGACAAGTGCATTGAATTTGCTGGACCGCGTAACTCCATGGCGTCCGACATTCACTAGCATGTTGATAATCCTCTGAATCGTGCGAAGCTAACAGACTAGTTAGACTTCCTGTTACGAAGACATTCAACACATTCCCTTCGTTCGACACAATTAGCCTGGAATGATTGCTCAAGATTCAAGCTACCGGTTAAGTTAGAAACATGTTTTCTGATATTCCGGAGACCATGTCCACTTGTTGGGCGCTGAACAGGGCAAATGTTTTTTGCTGTCTGCGACTTTGAAGCATCGTCTAGCACCACTTACATCAAATAGAAAACCACGTTGGATAGTTGCGCAACGAGGCCGCACATGTATTAAACATTACAGAGTTCAAGTAGAACATAAGGTTGACGGAAACTTGGGGACTGCGCCTGCCTGATGAGCCACAAGAAGGGCGAAACCGGTCGTGGGCTGTTGGGGAGTTTTCAGCAACCTTGTGAGTAGTTTCCTTTATGAAAAGTGTTATTATGATATCTAATGGGAAATGCTCCATCGAATCCCCATTTCCAGTCATTTGCTCATTCATATAGCCTCAAAAAGTGAGCATCATTGAAGCGGTCTAAAACGATTAGCGCTAAAGAGAGAAGTGTTGGACTAATTTCTCCATTTTTTAAGCTGGTCTCCAAACCCATGCATTTGGCCTCTTTAGCAAAGGCTGCCAGTTGATGTTTTTAATGTGGTTATTAAGTGTATTTCCTAAGGCGACCTTTTCTGACAGTTCCAAAGGAAACACGCTTTGGATAGTACGGCCAAAATAACATCAAGCTTACACGTTACCTCAGTAGAAGAGCACAGGAACCGCACGTCATTCCAATCTGTTTTTAAATTTGGCTGGGAGCCTGACACTACAGATAAAAGACACGCCTATAATGTTGTCTGACAAGAGTCTTGTAATTAGGAAAAAAACATCACAGGAGGTTAATAAATTTGTATCAGACAATGTCCGGTAACCAGGAGCCACAGATTTCTTACCAATTCTCTTCATCTGGGTAGTCAGTTTAAACAGTGCGCAATGACCATAGAATCATTGTAGTGCTAAAAACTGAGATAACTAACCTTTAACTTGGCCGGACTGGTATCACGTCAGCAGTTTTTGCAGATCTCACCGAAGTGTGGAACATTTTAAAAAGTCAGACTACTTATATGCTCATATATATTAACTATGAAGATACAAACCCCTTCTGGAGAGCAACTAACAACAATTATTTAGAGGCAAATGGTCTACACATTTGTTGGATCATTTGAATGCAAAAAATCAGTGCGATTTGAAAAAGATTTTCACATTTTTGGAAAATGGGCTAATATCAGAGCTACGAAACAAACACACGGTGCCCATTTTTAGTACTAGCGAATAAAGTTCTTTGCAAACCACTTCTATGTGGAGCAAGGTATAATCTGTTGTAATGCCTCAGTATACCTTTGTTTACAAACCATTCCTCAACGTTTGCATGTTGTCGACTGCAAGGGTGAAAAGCATAGCATAAAATGAACTTCTTATAAAGTCATCCCTGACTAACAAAACAACCGGATTCCGCTTTCAAGAAATTTACTGATTGATGTTTTTTATAAGCCCGACAAAACTGGCCCCACTCGAGATACGACTACCGGCAATGTGCACGGTAAGTGCACTATAATCTGCCTTAACCTAGAAAAAACAGGAAGTGGCGAATGCATCTAGATTTTCTTGCTTTCCTTGCATTAGACAAACAATTTTTCAACATTTCGAACAGAAATAGTAGGATAGAATCTGATATCTTCAACACGTTGTGATTGTTAACAGTACTGTATTATGTATTCCAGAAAAGTTGACTGAATAAGCCAAAAAGACATGTTCGTTCAGTTTTCTACTTTGAGAAAATTGCATGATATCGGCCACGAGACAGGGAGTCTTAACTTTTTTTTAAGTTCTCGTTCTTGCTAATCAATAATTCAACTTGCCTGAAGCAATCGCCAGACAATGCAGGGAAGATAGAAACCAGCAGCTTGCACGGCCAAAGCAAATGTAGCCCACTGGTAGTAACGAACGACATTTTGCCTTTCTTCCGGTGGAGGAAGTCTGGACTCAAGGCTTGCGTAGTAGGTATTGGTTACCCAACAGTAGTTCTCAGCGTATTCTTCCCAGCTGCGAGAGAATTCTTGTGGTATCCAGCATTGCAACGGTAGATGAGCTATATGGGTAGGACGTTGTAAAGTTTAGGTTCAGTTTACAAATTGGCTATCCCAGGAATATCACAAAAGTAGTATTGATAAAATTTTCAATTGCACTCGCCTCACTCATCTGGTGTAGAACACTGATTTCCTACGTGATGGTAGTGAAAGTACATGTATACTGATGAACAAGCACTTTATGTAAGTTTTTAGTCAGGGTCTTACATCACTGTCGTGAAAATTCCTCAGGTAGTAACGAATTCTATGAGATTTAACATGTTCATCCATCTTCTCGGTTTTTACCTCGTGTTAATTGAAAATTCATGTCTACCTGGTACAACACTTGCTGGGGATGGATGACACCATGTAACTCACAATTTGGGCTGAAGAGTTTGATTGGTTTTCTGTCTGGAAACAGATGGAAGAGTAACTTATCTGTAACAGCTCTTTGGCTCATATGGTCATCATGTCAGAAAGGTGCCCACAATATCAACATGACGGTTGACGGGTAAAACTGAGTTCATACTATAGCACATTTTCACTGTGGGTGTTTCGTACTTGGAAAATAAATGAGCAACTCATGGAACAACAAATGGTTCCTCCTTGGTGTAGAATTTCAATTCCTAAAGGAAAAATCTTGGCCAAAGTCATTCAATGCTGCCATAATCATATTCTTCACGGGGTTTCTGTAAGAGTTTTTAGTGGTGAAGAGTTGGATCAATACTGCAGCAAGGAGATTTTTTCTCAACGGATGTTTCCCTGTAGATCAACCAGATAATTTTGCTCATGATCAAGAAATGATGGCGTCAGGCATGCCTGTGAACTAAAAGTTCCTAAAACTGAGTAACATGATATGTAGAAATGAAAATAGAAATGAAAATAGAAAAATGAAATAGAAAATAGAAATGAAAATAGTTCTACCTAAAATTTTCACCAACTGATGTTCTTCGGTCCGGTGCATTGGAGCAAACCCTGTCACAACGGCCGCCCCCGACTGAATAATTACTCTGGATTGTGGTCGCTTAGCATAGCAACCGGCGGTTCCCTTCCATGTGTTGAAATCGAAATCTCTTACGTATACCAATAGATAAATTTCATGTGTGTAGGCGCATCCACGCATTCGCAAATATCGTTAAAACTGCTGGACGATACATTAATGTTCAACGGAATAAAGAAATTTCCAAGGAATTCTGGTTGCCGATTCCTAAGTTTTTGGAGCGGGAATATTGGGCAACATGCAAGGAATGTGATAGGGTTCAGCCCATGCTAAGAAGTTACACTGTAAGTTCAAAATAGGTGCGCCAGATGACAGTTTACTGTATCTGCTCTGGCTTACTGCTTTCAATCTCATGCATATATCTTTCTTCCCTTTTAACCTGTTCATTCAAGACTACCAATCAAATAGCAACTTCAAATTTACCTGATTTATGTGTATCCCATGGGGTTCCACAGTTTATTATCATAACGTATTAGAGTTACACCTTATTGTGGTAAAACGTAATAAGCATTTTTGACAGGAAATTCACTGGAAGCCACTAGGGATAAATTAGGTTTGTTCAGTCGTTAAACAAGATACTTTTCTACGTCCCGCTAGAAATGCTTTGACAACATTTTGAGCAAAATGTTACCCAGCTCATTCGGAGTATCTGTTATATTGATTCGTTTGTTCTTGTGACCCCACAGTCCCCGTTCTAAGCGTGGTGAATTGGTTAGGAGGTTTGTTTTGGTATCATACAGTACCTTAAAAACAATGAATGGTAACCGAAGGCGACTGCCCCATGGTCCGTCTTTGAAAAACCTAGCGTCATGTCCCTTGACAGATTTTGTCCATTCATAACAAGACAAGCTTCCGATCCCATAACCACAAAGAAGACTTCCTTAGTAGATGATATCTAGATTACGAAAAGGTTACAATATCATCAGTGGCGTTGCCTTGTTTGCAAAATGATGTAAAGTCTGTTTATCAGGTTTGTTGTGATAGAATCCATCGTGATGCACTGACAACCCTAAAAGTAGGCAACGAATCCTGTGCTTTTTCATCCGTATTAGGTTGGCTGAAACTAATAGAACCTTTAAAAGTAGCACCGCATCTTCCGTTTTCTATTGCTGAATCACTAAAGTGAAAATCCTTTAGTGTTCGGAATGTAACAGGTATTATAGCCAAAATCAGTGGCTCGCGAATTCCCTCGTTTGAGTGTCCTTTCAGTTGGATATGATCGACCAGGCGGCGTGAAGTTATGGTACAGTTATCTAAATTATAGTACTGTCACTTTGTGTTTTGTCACGTGTCCACAAGAGCGGAAGTTCACCCCAAAAGCATAATCCATGCTATTTCATAAGTCTATTTTCGGAATCTGACCTAAAGTAACGCATCGGTGGTCCTTACTGATTTTGAGGGCTGCTATTGGCATCCTAAGCCCTGTCTCCACTTAATTTACGATGGTAGCATAATGCCATTTCACCTTCAAACAGGTCGAAACACCAAAAATATCGTAAGTTCCAGCAGGGGTGGGGAAAATCTAAGTGTGCAGCCATGGTTTTGAAGCAAGCTTTAATTCATGTGTTTATTGTAATGGTACAGATCCGATTCGAGAGACCGATCGGAGACATATTTTGAGAAATTGACTTTATAGCTATGGACACGGGAGAAAAAATGTTTGCATGAGCTCATGGGTGGCGAAAGTGAGCATACCGTTGTAGCGTGACAGTAATAAATACGTACAGAATACTTCTGCACAGTTTCTCATTGTATAAAAGCAACGGAATATGTTCCAGTACTCCTGATTGTTTAGCGGAAATTGTATATTTCAAACAACTCCAAGGAATATCCTAGAAGGGCTAGGCTTATTTCCAAGTGGTTTTCTGTGGCTTTCCAGCAGTTTTGCTCAATTTTGACCCTCACGTGAATAGCTGATTTTTTCTTTATTATCCATGACTTAAAACAGCGGAGACAGACGCCAAAATGTAACTACACTGAGCCAAGTAGCCAGTGCAATCATCAATCGTCAGCCGAGGATCCACGCGCTCGACGCTGGTGATCCCGCTGTATACGATTGCTTGTGTTTAATCCCGGTGGAGCTCGGGGTGAAACGTGAAGTGATATTGTTTTCCCTAAATCCGGATGACTGAAACGGCTTGTATGTATGGACCGCAAACGAGTCTAGACAACCAACTGAGGCGACCGTTGTACAAACGAAAAACCGCAAAACCACATACTGAGGTACGGGGTTTCAATACCAGACAATATAGTGGTAAATCGCTGTCCAAAAAACAAAAAAACGACAAACGAATGATAATTACCATTTGATTTAATCTAATTTCAGTGCCCGAATATGTACATCCCATAATCTGGATGGTAATCTTGCGCTGTTTTGTTCCGTTTAAAAGACGGAGTCGAACTAATCGTAGATGTCGGTTTTCTAGCTAACCATGTTTAGGGCTTGACAGTACAAATTGTTCGCTGGTATATGTTTGTCAGCAAAGCACTTGTTGGCCTAATTTTCCTTGGTGGAGATTGTGAACACCAACTAAGTTTTGTCAAGCGTTCTGCGGAGCCTGGAAATGAACGGGCTAGCTAGGACATCGACGCAACCAGTGGTTTCTTACACTAATTTTTCAATGCAAAGAAGTGACGAGAAATAAGATCAAATAAACAACGTAATGGAGGACAAACACGTGATCGCACTATAAAAAGAAGTAATACTTAATAATAAAATCAATACGGTTGTAACGGAAAGCCGTAGACAAAACCCGGGTGTCACTATTATCTAGATCTGACAATGTCACATAGAAGCAAATCAATCCACCCTTCAGCCATCATATTTACGCGCTCTCTGGGGCAATTCTCTTATTTTCCCTGCAGACCTAGTGCTAAAAACCATTCAGGCGAAACCTAAATTGACAAACTCCCATTTATATCAATAAAAATTATCCCCTTTCGCTAAAGCTTTATTTAAAATGGAATTCAGAAGTGTTGCGCGATGTGACTTACACAAAATTGTGGTGGATACCAGACCAGCTGAAATAATTTCATGGTAGAGTTTTAATGACTTGAAATATTGTGTGTTGTTCATTCGTTATAATAAACATGGTCACTTGAGAGGGAAAGACTTCCTCATTTAATTTCTATTAAATATTTATGTCAAGCTCTCGAATCCACAGGTTATTAATTAACTTTAGGCAACGATCCGTTGCAAACCGATGCCAATTTTAGCGAAATACACTCATTTGCAAACTAACTTTGATTTTGCGAGAGACTCACCTGGAACCCAGCTGAATCTCTCGTTTGTGCTATTTCTAGGCATTTTGTTTTCAGCTGCAAAATCATATTACCAAAAAGGCACTTGATAAAGAGTGCTTTATGAGTGCCAGATTTAAGCACATTGGAATCCATCAGATGTTCCTTTTCTGCACCAGATATCCCCATTCATCCCTGCTGTGAGGACAACAGGTTTCATTCTTCTTCTCAAAGTCCTCATTATTAGACTCAATTGTTTACGCTCCGCGAACTGTCAATCATACAGATCTGGTGCGAGTTAATTCAGTTATAGAGACGTTGTTCTTAAGGGCATGAGATATACGGTGGACTGCAGTGATTTTTGATTTGACAAGCAGTGGATGGGGCAAAATGATAAATCTTTCATCCATTTTTAGTGCGAGAAAGACCTGACGGTATGTTCTCACATTTTGAGACAATCCTAACGAAAAAAACAGCCTCAAATGAAAGCTTCATGGTAGAATATGGGCTCCGTTGGATAAATTGGGCCATACTGTCATATTCAAACGAAACCCCCCTGTTTTGCAGTAAGGTGGGAGTTTACGATGGTGGGAAAAATAATAACTACAACACACAATTAGTTCTGAAGTGAAATAATTCACAATTTGCTTGAACATTTTATCTGAGAAATCATCAATTGCGGAGCCTGTTAACACGTAACTACGTGATTTTATTTTTCGATTGAAGGACGAGTGGCACCATATCACACATCCGATAACTCGCTTGTGGTCGAACAATTTAAGC